CATCGCCCAGTCCCTACGAGTCTAAACACTCAGCGTTTATTCACTTAATTAGAACCATTTTTCAATTAACTCCACGAATATAAGTTTTACACTGAGGTATTTTAAGATAATTTAAATATTCTTGGTAAATAAAATGAATTTTTAATGTAAGAAATCTGATGTTAAAGGGTCAATATTACACCGTTTTCTGATCTTTGTTCTAATGTCGTTTCCTCGTCACAAACAGACCTGGAGTTGTGTTTTTTTTTTGTTTCATTCACGCGTTTAAAACACAAACCTGGAACATTTAAGTTTACGAGATCTTCTCTCCAACGGAAAATAATTCATAAATAATTCATTCAGTTGTTTTTCAAAATAAAACCAAAAATAAAATGAAAAAAAACAACAACTATTTTCTTCATTATTTGTCTCCAAAACCAAACTGTGATGCCGAACTGAACCAGGACTGAACCAGGACTAAACCAGGTCTAAACCAGAACTGAACCAGGACTGAACCAGGACTAAACCAGGTCTAAACCAGAACTGAACCAGAACTGAACCAGGACTAAACCAGGTCTAAACCAGAACTGAACCAGGACTGAACCAGGACTAAACCGGGTCTAAACCGGTCTCAGTCCCAGTCTCAGTTCTGATCATCCGATAGTCTATGCATGTGCACGTCCAGGCCTGTCCCAACACTCTTGGTTTAGTCCTGGTTCATTTCTGGTTCAGTCCTGGTTTATAACTGAAACCAGAACCAGACCAGGCCTGAAACCGGAACCAGACCAGGAAGTGAGACCTGTTTTAGACCTGGTTCAGTTCTGATTTAGTCCTGGTTTATAACTGAGACCAGGACCTATCCAGACCTGAGACCGAAACCAGACCAAGAAGTGAGACCTGTTTTAGACCTGGATTAGACCTGGTTTAGTCCTGCTTTAATCGTGGTTTAGTCCTGGTTTAGACCTGGTTTAGACCTGGTTTAGACCTGGTTTAGACCTGGTTTAGACCTGGTTTAGTCTCTGTTTAGTCCCAGTTTAGTCCCGTTTTAGACCCGGGTTAGACCCGGTTTAGTCCGAAAACTGAAAAAAAACCAAATCATTATCTGTTTTTCATTTTAGTTTTGGCAACAAATAATGAAGAAAATCGTTGTTTTTTTCATTTTCTTATTTTTGGTTTTATTTTGAGAAACCAATGAACGAATGATACAAGGACGTGTCTGATGAGTGTGTGAATGTTTGTTTTGTGTGTTTGTCTTGTCTTGTATAACACACGAGTTTATTAAAGAGCTGAAGTGTCGTCGTGTGACATTTGGGAGGTGATTGGAAATGTCTTCGCTTTGCTTCATCCATCCCCTTTTCAAACCTGGACGTTTATATCTGCGTCTGTACTGTTACGTTTTTATGTGAACTGTGCAGGTTTGAAATAAATAACTAATTAAATATGTGGTAATACAAGTGTCTGTCTGCATCACACTGAAACGTATCATCGTAAACAATTTGCGTCCAGACACGTCATTTCTGTGTCCGCAATCCTTCCCTAACTACTTTTTACAGAAATTGAACTTAAAACCACATCAGACTCATTTGCATAAACTAATCGCTCAAAAAAAAAACTGGTGCGGTTCAGCTTCTGTCGGACATAAAAAGTTCACGACTCAGTGGAATATGAGTGTTGTTTCTGTGACAGAGGGGTTCTGCTGATGGTGAGTCTGTTCTGTGTTTCTGTCGTGTTGGAGATGGTTCATGTGAAACTTTTCAGAGATTATACGTCTGCAGGTCGAACACACAGACACACGTTTATATGAATGGACAAATATTCTAGTCTCTTTGTGTTTTGGAGGTGAATTGCTCCGTGGCTACATCAGAGTATCAGTGTTTTCAGGAGTCCACACGGCGCTGGATCAGATCTGTACTCAGGTGAATTCATGGGAGCTGGAGGCACCAGATCGTTCCGTCTCTGGAGCAGTTTTCAATTGGATTAGTCGTTCCTCGCTATATCACAATCTCGCAGATTTCTTTTTTTTTGTGTGTGCAATTTTGTATGCTTTTTTTTTTTTTTTTTAAACACAGTGTATGAACGTGTGTTGTGTTCGTTAGTGATTACACACGGGCGAGACCAGGACTAAACCAGGACTACACCAGGACTAATCTCGGACTTGAGAGAGAGAACCCCGAGCGGTTTGTCCGCAAAGTGCAATCGGGTAATTGCAGCGATTAGTTCCGTGAGGTGCGGAGCTCTGAGCCGGTCCTTTCTGCGGTCACCTCCGAGCCCGTCCCAACAGTGAGTCCTGGTTTAGTCCTGCAATCAGTCCTAGGTTAGTCCTGGTTTAGTCCTGGTTTAGTCCTCCTTTTCAGTCCTGGAATCAGTCTTGGAATCAGTCCTGGAATCAGTCCTGGGTTAGTCCTGGTTTAGTCCTCCTCTTCAGTCTTGGAATCAGTCCTGGTTTAGTCCTCCTCTTCAGTCCTGGAATCAGTCTTGGAATCAGTCCTGGAATCAGTCCTGGGTTAGTCCTCCTCTTCAGTCCTGGAATCAGTCTTGGAATCAGTCCTGGTTTAGTCCTCCTCTTCAGTCTTGGAATCAGTCCTGGTTTAGTCCTCCTCTTCAGTCCTGGAATCAGTCTTGGAATCAGTCCTGGTTTAATCCTCCTCTTCAGTCCTGGAATCAGTCCTGGAATCAGTCCAGGAATCAGTCCTGGAATCAGTCCTCCTCTTCAGTCTTGGAATCAGTCCTGGTTTAATCCTCCCCTTCAGTCCTGGAATCAGTCCTGGAATCAGTCCTCCTCTTCAGTCCTGGTTTAGTCCTACTCTTCAGTCCTGGTTTTGTCCTGGTTTAGTCCTGGTTCAGTCCTGGTTTAGTCCTACTCTTCAGTCCTGGTTTAGTCCTAGGTTAGTCCTGGTCACTCAAACATGTGAATGAAACAAAACACAACTCCAGGTCTGTTTTCGAGGAGGTAACAACATTAAAACGCGACTAAACGCTCACATGAGTCAGTTTTGCGTAACATCGGACCTTTAACGTTTATCAGCATCAGTGTAACTACATAAATCTCTGCGTAAATTTGTTTAAACTTGTTATAAAAAGGTTGCGGGTTCGACTCCCTGTGCGGCTCGTACTTCAGTCTCCTCTCAAACGTTAAAGCTCGACTCCTGATTTAAAGCTGCACTGTGTCACTTTTCTGGTGGGGGATCGACCGCTCGCTCGTCTTCACTGAGACGCCATTGCTTCGCCCGGAACGTTCCGCAGTACTAAAGGTGCGCAAAAATATCGGAATACTAGTAACGGTGTAACGATATCTAAGTCTCACGGTACGATATTTATTGCTGATATCGTGGGAAAGCTCACAATATGTCGAGGAGGCTCACGATTAGAGATGAGAAAATACCTTGACAAGACTTAATCCAAAGAACTAAGACTTAAAAGTGTTAGAATTGTTATTTAATAAGGATCATGGTCTATGTAGTTCCCTTTGTCTTTTTGAGCTGTTGCTGCACCAAAACTCTTCATTTAAGCAGAGACTTGTAATTCGATATATTGTGATGGTCCAGGATATTATTGTGACTTTGACGATACGATATCACTGTATTTCGATTATTGTTACATCCCTGCAGAACACCAATATATCGCATCATTTAATTTGATGATACAGCATCGATATTGTCGGCTGCTGTATTGATATATCGCCAAGAGTATTTTTAAGATATGCAAGGCTTTGGAGGCAGGAGTGCAACTTGGATATACAAAAAATGTGAAGAAATGTCCTTTTGGTGCTCTTCAGTGTAGGGACCAGTCTCAAATACAAAGTGGGAAAAAAAACTGAGGCACTCAAAAAGTAGGCCTAATATAGGCCTACATGTCCCATCATGCATCTAGGGGACTGTGGACCAGCCCACTGTGAACATGTGACCTACACCTATTACTTTAAATCTGCACTGTGATAACCATCTCGAGTTTGCCCTGATGAAGGCCGAAGGGCCGAAACGCGTTGGCGTATTTTAACTATATCTGCCATGTGGTATTAAAGGCTTTTAATTATTTTGTACTTTTTGAGTGCCTCAGTTTTTTTCCCACTTTATTTTTAAGATATATTTTAGGAAATTATTTTGTTACAGCTACAGTTTTGTTGTTTATTTAGTGGAAGGAAACTCTTTTATGAGACACATTTGACATTTACACTGTTTTGAGGATTAAAATGTTTGTGTTTCATTTGAACTTTGCACAAGACATGGTTTAACAAAGACTTTTAGTATCACAGACATGATTTAGCCCAGGGGTCTCCAACCTGTAGCTCAGGAGTTACCAGCAGCTCTCCACGCCCTTCCAAGTATCTCACCATGTGATTTCTAATTACACGTATTGTGCTGAACAACTAAAACTGGACAGATTGAAGGCTTTTACTTTTTAAAATATATTATTTTGATGACTGATGCTGTGCACGTTGTAAATGTATAAACATCTAACTGTGCCCCATCTGAGGCCGTGAATCTTAAATTTACTCCATTTCTTGTGACCACTAGAGGAGCTCTTTGGCATTTTCATTTTGTAAAAGTAACTCGTTGGAGGAAAAAGGTTGGAAACCCCTGATTTAGCCTTTATTTTTTATTGAACCGTATCAAATCGATTTGAAATATATTGTATCGTTTAATGTGATGATACTGCATCGATATTGTTGGAGTATTTTTTTTACATATATTTTACAAAATTATTTTGTTGTTCCAGCTACAGTTTTGTTGTTTGTTTAGAGGAAAAAAACTCATTTATGAGACACATTTGACATTTTCACTGTTTTGATGATTAAAATGTTTGTGTTTCATATGAATTTTGCGCAAGAAGTGGTTTAACAAAGACTTAGTATCGCAGACGTGATTTAGACTTTATTTTTTATTGAACCTTATCGAATGGATTTGAAATATATCGTATCGTTTAATGTGATGATACAGTATCGATATTGTCGGCTGCTGTATCGATATATCACCAAGAGTATTTTTTTGGTTAATTTTAACTCAATTATTTTGTCACAGCGCTACAGTTTTGTTGTTTTTTATTGAACTGTATCAAATCGATTTGAAATACATCGAATCGAAAGTGCACTGTACCGAGATAAATATCGTATCGTGTCCCATGTATCGAGATTCGTATCGTAACTTCTTCTTAACGACACCCAGCCCTTAAACATTAACGGCATTAAACATCTCTGCTTTTCTTCATTTACAGGTGATTTACAGTTATTGCTACAACATACTTGGAAAAAACGTGGACTCTGCTCTCCACAGATCCGACCTGTAACTCAGCCCGGTGGCTTCTTCTAGTCGTATCCATGCAGGGTTATACTGTACGTTTAATGCCAAACTGTGGGATATTCCGGGCAAAGCAGCGACGCCTTCGTGGAGACGGGACGACAGCGGACCAGCGCCACCAGGAAAGTTACATGTTACAGCTTTAAAAAACGAATCAACTCCTAATCTAAACGCGATGGCGACACTCGTCCGAAGAAAACAAATGAAAAAGGAGGTATTACACTTCTACGTTACACATTTAGAATCACCGTGTTGCTTTTTATCGTTTTGAAAATGCCGCGTTCGCCGAAAACAATGCATTAACATGATTTATAGGTCTCCCCCTCTGTTTGCTCTCTGCGCTAACCCACTCCCCCTTCAGAGCGCCGTCACAACACCGTCAGCGCGCGCCCCTCTAACGAAACTACTCAGGTTTGTGAAGTCGTCGCGAGTAGTTTTTGCATCGCATTTTTTGCATCACATTTTTGTACATTTACAAAAAATTTTACAGAATCTTACAGCTAAGGGGCATGGGAAAGATCGCTAAATGACTCAAACATGCACATACGACTCTAAAAAACACTTCGGACGCAGTTTTTCGATGAGGGAGCGACGTTATAACACGGCGGAAAGCTACGAAAAGTCAAGCTTATGCGTAATACCCCCTCTTTAAATAAAATAGTTCAGCTCTAAACAAGATTTTTCTTTCTTTCTTTCTCTGCTCCTTCTTCAGTAAATAATGACACGCTGCCCCCTAGAGGCACGAGTTCCCGACGCAACAGAATCAGACTCATTTGAATAAAGTCTATTCAACTAAATTTCAACAACGTTTTGCCCTGAATTTCAAGTCCCTGTGACTTTTTGACACTTGTACATGTAAACAATCTGTAAACCTCTGTAACAATACATCTGCTTCTCCTATATAATATAAATATGTAACTACGATCTCATACATAAAGAATAAAACTGGTATACGCCGTTCATTGCATTTGTTAATAACAAATGTACATTGGAATAAGATTATTGCCTAAAAATAAGTCACTCTGTACAGTGTAGAGTTATAAATACGCGGGTTGATAAAGTAGAGGGACTGGGCGTGGTTTCAGACTGGGTCAGGGTCTATGGGGGGGACTTAAAGAGGGTACTCGGGGTACTTTAAGGGGTATATCTGGGGTATATTTGGGGGTATTTGGGGTACAGTCCTGCTCTGTTTATGGCCGTCGAGTTGAACCAGAGGCTGTTGGAAACATCACAAGCTGAGGTAACAAAGATTCATCCTACGGAAAAAAACAAACACATAGAAAACAGAACGGATTTTAGTGAATTAAATTGTGATAAATACATGTTTTACAGTGGGTACATTTACATGGCCAGTATTAATCAATGTCAGTGAAATGTGTCAGTTAAAGGAACTGTAAGACAATCCCATCTGAACCTGTGTCTCTCTGTCTGTGCTTTCACCTGCAGATAAACACGTCCGAGTTTGTCTCATTCTCACTACGGCAGCGTCTCATTTCTCTTTCCTCGCTTCCTTCTCCTTGATTCCTCTCCTCGATTCTGCAGGAAATGGGTGAGGAAGTCCCGCCCACAGAGGAGGCACAGGGAGGAGAGAGGATCTAAACTCCTCACTGTGACCAATAAAGTTTGGTTCTTTCCTCTGGCGTCTGCTCCTGAAGTCTCCCTCAGGTTTACTCCTTCATTCAGTGGTTTTCTTTGGGACAACACTTAAAGTGCCACAAAACAGCAAAATCACTTTTTTTCTTCTGATTCTCTGTGTAAAAGGGTCTAAAATAGAAGTGTATCTCTATCCCTGGCCTTATTTTGGCATTTTAGTGCAGACAGTGTTGGGGAGTAACAGATTACATGTACCAGAGTTAAGTAATCAGAGTACAAATTATGAGTAACTGTATTCAGTTACAGTTACTGTTTCAGTGAGTGGTCAGGACTAAACAAGGGGAGTCAGCGTTTCAGGTTCATGCAGCTAAAACCTGGAACAGTCTGAACATGTGAGACAGACTCTTCTGTGACGCTGTTTAAATCCAGACTCAAAACATTTCTGTTTAACTGTGCAAATAACTGAAAGGTTTTCATTCCACACTCTTCTCTCCAATTTATGTCTCTCTTTTTAATTTTAATCTTCATGATTATTTATGTTTTGATTTGTTTTTATTATGATTTTAATGTATTTCTTATTCTGTAAAGCACTTTGAATTACTTTGTGTACGAATTGTGCTATACAAATAAACTTGCCTTGCCTTGCCTTGCCTAATTGGATTACAGTTACTTTGTTGAAATAAATGGATTACATGGTGGTATTTTCCTGTTTTCACATTTTGGGCTATATCTCTTATTTATTTATTTATTTATTTATTATGGAGTAATTCCACTCATTGCCAGACAGTAAACCAGGATTAAAACGAAGTCTAAATCAGGATTGAACCAGGAGTGAACCCAGGTCTAAACCAGGACTAAAACCAGGTCTAAACTAGATCTAAATCAGGACTAAACCAGGACTAAAACCAGGTCTAAACTAGATCTAAAGCAGGTCTAAACCAGGACTAAAACCAAGTCTAAATCAGGTCTAAACCAGGGCTAAAACCAGGTCTAAATCAGGACTAAACCAGGTCAAAACTAGATCTAAACCAGGTCTAAACCAGGTCTAAACTAGGTCTAACCTAGATCTAAACCAGGACTAAAACAGGATTTAACAGGACGAAACTATTCTATCAACAATATATTTTAATATGGTTAAGGAAAGACTGGGCTTTTTATTGTCTTTTAACAGACAAAATACCTTAAGTGAAGATATACGAGTCTTTGTTTCTCTACAGAAAATCAACTAATCCAAAGTATTCAGATTACATTACTCACTTTAAGTAATTTAATGGATTACGTTACAAACTACATTTTGGGATATGTAATCTGTAATCTGTAGGGGATTACATTTTAAAAGTCACCTTTCCAACACTGAGTGCAGATTTCTTAAAAATAAGACTTTTGGGTGATTGCCGTGTCTGTAACAGCCTCTTTAGGATCAACTACGGCCAGGACGTTAAAGTTTCCAGGTTGGACTAATGAGTCAGATGCAGGTTATTACGTAAGTGCAGCTGCTCATGATCAGCTCACCGTCTATTGGTGGTACGTGAGAAGTCCCTCTTAGCCCTGCCTATACAAAGCTGCGCCCTTTGGCCAATCTAATCTCGCTGTCACCCTCCATTGGCAGTATGCCATTGTTAGCGCTCGCTGTCGGCGTTGTCCCCAGGCTGTCACTCATAGGTCAAGCCCCACCCCACACCATCACCCCACTCGCGCTCCCCAACCCGCTGAGTACTGCCCACTTTGTTGGATTTTTCAAATTTTGACTGTGGGCAGAGTTAACTCTAGCACACACCTTTAACGGGTCTTTAATATGACACATTTGATTGACAGATGAACAATGGAGGCTCGAGGAGAGGAATGACGGAGAAGGAAGTGAGGAAAGAGAATTGAGATGCAGCCCATGCCTGAAAGCTCAGAACCTCCAGAATTCACTCAGTGAGCTAAAAATGGATTGAAATTGATAACAATTATCAGTAAAAGCTGAATTTGATTTGAACATGTTCACTACAGACGCAAATAGATCACGTTTATGACATTTCAAATGATACAGTTACATACAATTCCAATGGACTTTTAGAGTAATGTCTGTATTTGTAGGGCAAAGTACAATTAATTTGATCATTTATCAAATAATCTATATCTATATCTTGTTACATAAGACACTTCCTTGTGCTCTACTGCTGATCCTTTGCAGTTCTTGGTGGGACTTTGACACTGCCCTACATTTACCTGTTGAGTAAGTATCATGTGGCGTTCGAGTTCACTGCCTTGGATCCGTCTGAGTTGGCGTTGGTCTGTTCCTTCACAACAGGAACTGAAAAACACAGACTTTTCATCAGCGCTCGAACACGTCACGACCAGGTTGTAAAAGTGGATGTGACGGTGAACAAACGTAAAACTCCACATCCGAGCAGGTTGAAGTCCCTCTGTACGCGCGTTTGTACAGGGCGTTGGTGGTGCATTCAGGAACTCTGTGTGTGTGTGTGTGTGCATGTGCGTGTGGTGCGTTCAGGGACTCACAGAAGTACGGGTGCTGCATGGCCTCGGCTGCGCTCAGTCTGGTCTGATGGTCGTATCTCAGGAGCTTGTCCAGCAGGTCCAGAGCTTCAGGACTCACCAGGTGCTGGTTCTCCGGCTGCACAAACTGCTCCCAGCGTTTACGGGACTGTCTGAGGGGAGAGAAAACACTGTAAGTGAGTGTGCAGCGTGAGGACAGAAAAGTGCCCCCTGCTGTCCTGGTGTAACACTGACGGACGCCTGACCAAGGACTTTCCTCTCGACAAACTGAGTCAGAACAGGGCCCACAGCGAGCGTGTACAGACGGGACTAAAGAGGCTAAAGCTGCTGCCTGTTCTGCCCCCTACTGCCCTTTTCTACCTTGTCTTTTTTACAAATGTCTAAGGCCCCGTCCGCACTAGTTCATATTCGAGTTGTTTTCGTTGTGGGTGCAGAGTTCATTCACATTAATCCGATTGAAAACGGCTCCAGAGACGGAACGATCTGGTGCCTCCAGCTCCCACGAATTAATCTGAGTACAGATCTGATCCTTGACTGTGTGGACGCCTGAAAACACTGATACTCTCATGTAGGAGCTCTAGTCTCTTCTTTATTGGACCACGTCACTGTGACTCGCTCCTTCCTGATTCTCTGGGTTCGTCACATCGGTCATGTGACGATATTGCGGAAAACAGTTTAAACAAACCACAGACAAGACTGTTTTCATGCTTGACATCTTCCTCGGCTCAAAATCAGCTGCTACAACTTCAGACACAGTTAGGAGAACACCCCTCTGTCACAGAAAGAACACTCAAATTGCACTGAGCCGTGTCCTTTAGTCCGACAGAAGCTGAACCACATTAGCGCAGAAGGAGTGAGATGTTTTTTTGAGCACTTAGTTTTTGCAAATGAATCATGTGGTTTTAATTTTTGTTTCTGTAAAACGTAAACAAATATGCTCAAAGCTGTGTGGACTGAGTGCGGACACAGAAATGACATGTCTGGAGGCAAAATGTTTCCAATACGGTGATACGGTCATTTGTTTCAGTGTAAACGTAACATAAACTACAAACAAAGGTATCCCTCTATTTATATAAACATCACATTTTGAAGTCTTGACAGGTTTTCTATGCGTGCCCTTTTATAAGTCTGAGTTCCTGCCCCCTGATGCACATAGACTGTTTATATAATTGGACATAGCTAACCTGCCGGCTGCCGTGTACCAAACAGGAAGTGAACATGGGCGCACTTCCGGCTCCATCAGATCTGGCTCCAGTTGACTTAATATAGAAAAATTGTCACCCCTCTCTCTGTAACAGCTGTAGTGAGCTTCATCATTTCAGTCTTAATACTACTACTAATAGTAATAATAATAAGTATGCTTGTATTAACCTACTCCATATGATCCTGGTGTCTCCAAAAAAAAAGCACTTGTTCGTCAAATACTTCTCTTGGTCAGTTTTTATATCATTATTTTTATTATTAAAGCGACCTGTATGTTTTATATTCGTATATTTGTGTATATCTGTCTGTAGTCTGGACTCACTGTCCGAGCAGGTCCTTGAAGCGCGTGTCCAGCTCGATGTGGTACTTGTGCAGGTATCCAAACAGCTCATCTGTGCCCAGGACTTTGGCAATGCGCACCAACTACACACAGAACAAACATTCAGTAACAGACAGTCCCAGAATATTCAGTGTGAGCTGGGACCACAGCGCAGTCCCGGTACCTGGTCGTAGTTGTCTTGTCCGTGGAAAAATGGCTCCTTCAGGAAAATCATACTGGCCAACATACAGCCCAGGCTCCACATGTCCAGACTGTAGTCATACATCTGTCACACAGAAACAACAGCGGCTCTCAACAAGTCTCCAGCTCCCGGTGCCTAAAGGTCACCACACACTACAGGATCTTTTGGTCTTAAATGATTGTTAAACATGGGGTCTGATCGTAAAGACTAGAGCCCGACCGATATATATCGGCCGATATCAGGGTCTGGGGTTAGATTGACTATCGGCCGAAATTCTGTTGATCAGGACCGATATTTTTCATTTTGGTCTATTACAGCCCTGTAAAGCCGTGTCCCCACCAAATGTGAATGGTGAGAATAAACTGTGCTGAACGCCCCAAGTTTACCACTTGACTTTTTTGAGTCATTTGCTTCATTTGTGTGTCCTGGTCGCTCGAGTTTGGGAATTTGGTCACGTGAGTAAATCCGCTCTATTCACTCCAGAAAGATCAACTGCAGCTGCGCAGTGTCCTCTGCATCTGGTTTCATTTGGAAAAATGGCGGACTTGGACTACATTGAGATGACCAGACCGGGACCAGACCGGGACCAGACCGGGACCAGACCGGGACCAGACCGGGACCAGACCGGGACCAGAGCTTCTATGCCGAGTCTCTGCAAGCTCTGAGCTCCGCCCTGGAACTAAAAGCCCACGGCCAGAAACTGTACAAACTGGAGATTATTGAAGCAAAAACAAGTGCAGTTATTTTTGTGCCTTATATTTTATATAGAGATATTTATTTTTTGTTATTTTGTTTTCAAAGATTATCATTCTGGTTATTGATCAACATATTTTTATTTAGTATATTCAGTACATACATATTTTATTATTATTTAATTAGATTCTGGTTAAAGTTGTTTCAATACGCTAAAAAGTAAAACATTGAACCTGATTATTATTAATAAAACTTTTTCGAAAAAGGTGAAAGTTTACAGGATTATTAAACTTGCATATCTCATACAAAGCAGTGAATTTTTTTTTTTTTTTAGTTTTAAGAATTACCTGCTATTATATGGGTCGGGCTGTAGTAAAGACTGCCGCAGGATCTGACTGCGGACTAGAGAAGTGTAGATTACAGGCAGAGGTGAGGGTTGTACCTGATAGTCGACTAGCAGCTCGGGGCCTTTGAAATAACGCGATGCGACCCTGACGTTGTACTCTTGAGCAGGATGATAGAACTCCGCCAAACCCCAGTCAATGAGACGCAGCTGAGGACAGAGCACAGGAAAAGATCAAGGTACAATGTGTATGAAAACTTTTCCTTCAGAGTCTCTGGGTTGAGCCTGTCAGGAACCATCTCCAGATCTTGGTCTAGTCTTGGTCAGGACTTTAGCTGGAGGATTTGACGTTTGTTGTACGTTTTGGGATGATTAGGAAACCCCTCAATTTTCCTCCTTTCTTCCCTCAGGTTTACTACTTTCTTACTTCCTTCCTACAAAATTTAAGCTATAAACACTTAAGTCAAATCAGAAAATGAATTAAAGGTGGTGAAATTATCTGTCCATACAGCAAAATCATTTTACTTTAAGTTCTCTTAAAATAAACGACCTCTAGACTAGAATGAAGAGTCTCTGGTCTAGTATGTAGATAATAAACCTGAAAAAAAGATGAATAACATCATATAAGTTTTAAAATCTTGGCCAGATCAGAAAAAGTCGTAGTGTTGAACCTTCCTGGTGTGTGGTGCGAGTGTTTGTAGAGGTCAGGGGTGAGAGGAGAGAGGACGGGGTGTTGATATAAAAAGGAGTTGACAGGGAAGAGAAAATAAAGTTGTACCTTCCTGAGTTGGTGGTCGATCATGACGTTGTGCGGCTTCACGTCTCGATGCATGATGCCCATACTGTGACAGTAGTCCAGGGCCTGGCACAGACACGGCACAGTTACACACCTACACAGAATTCTATACAAACTTTATCCACATTTTACCGTTCGTTTTTACTTTTTACTTTCTTATATTTGTCAGATTATATTTTCCATGTAGATTAGAGAAGTTTTACAGAATTCCCTAGTGTGATGTGATGATTTCCAACCAGGAGGTACAATTTTAAACCTAGAAAATTGCCAAATTGGGAAAATAAGTGTGTAGGTTTTTGCAAAAATATAAAAAAATATAATGATCTTAACTGTATTTTAGTAAAATAAGTATTCTAACCTGTCATATGCCCTTTAAGGCTCATTGAGAAAAACATCGAGAAAAACCCCACGTTTGTTTTTGGTGAGTAAACAAAAGGGTAACGATACTGGACGATATTCAATACCAATATTTTTGCACTTCCCCCGTTCTCTGAGTGCCCTTTTTAATCAGACTAAAGAGTAAAAATGGAAATAGAGTGTTTATAGAGTGTAGAGTGTATTAGGCTGGTCCATCAAAGCACCGTAAAAAATTAAGTTTCAGAAAACCTCGATGAGAACCCTGCATTAGGTTTTAGCTCCAAAAGATGATTTAGGAAGAAATGCGGAAGAAAAAAAGACGTTTTAGAGTTTGCTCGAGCTGCATGAAGTTTTCTGGAAATGTACTAATTTAGTATTTTCAAGTAACTCTTTATTGACTTAATGGATTTTCTAAGCAACTTTCAAGGACTTTCTAATTATTTTTTTTTTTTTGTAAGTTTCACTTTGTGTTTGCAGAATAAAATGACAAATTATTGAAATTTGAATTATTTATTATGTTATAGTACAGAGCCTATAGGGCAATTTCCAAGTGTCTTGAGCAACCTCTAAATATTAATAAATGTGCATAAAATTTGGATCCAGATCCAGATATGGAACCAAATGCAAGGTTCTAAAAACCCTCAAAAAAATTCTGGGTCACCCTAGTGTTGTACAGCTGAATCTTTACACAAACATGGAACTTATAAAGTATAATTTGTTATTATTTTTACAAAAGTGAAAAGGTATTGTTTGGTGATCTTTCTTTCAATTTAAGAAAAAAATTCTAGCATTTGAAATAGATTTTAAAAGCCAGATATGTGTATTGGCAAATATGAGATAAATAATAATAGTAAAAGGACCTATCCCTAGTAAACTACATTATAAGATGATTGACAGCCCGTGTATTTTCCACACTGACCTTTAGCAGCTCAAACATGTAGAAACGAATGTCATAATCTGTCAGCTTCTGGTACAGCTCCTACAGACCACAAGGGGGCAGTGTTACAGACACACAGGTGGATTCACACAGGACGTAAGAGACAGGTGGAGATCGGCAATGTGTTTAGTGGCAAATGTACCTTAAAGTCTGTGTTATTGATGAATTCGAAAACAAGCGCTGGCGTTCGAGACTGCAACAGACACAGGGTTAGAGCGAGATCATGAATCCTCTGCATCGTCTGACCCTCTCTTCTGCAACTTTTACTCCTTCTGACCCTCTCCTCTGCATCTTCTGTTTCATCTGACCCTCTGACCCTCTCCTCTGCATCTTCTGCTCCCTCTGACCTTCTCCTCTGCATCTTCTGCATCCTCTGACCCTCTGCTCTGCTCCTCTGCTGCTTTTACCCTCTCCTCAGCTCTATCTACATCCTCTGACCCTCTCTTCTACATCCTCTGTACCATCAGACCCCCTCCTCTGCATCTTCTCTCCGTCTGATCCTCTCCTCTGCTGCACCATCTGACTGTCTCCTCTGCTACTTCTGCTCCTCTGCACCATCTGACTCTCTCTCTCCTCTGCATCTTTTACTCCATCTGACCCTCTCCTCTGCATCTTCTGTACAATCTGATCTTCTATTCTGCATCCTCTGTTCATCTGACCCTCTCTTCTGCATCTTTTTCTGCATCTGACCCTCTTCTTTGCATATTCTGTACCTTCTGACCCTCTCCGCTGCATCTTTTACTCCATCTGGCCCTCTCCTCTGCATCTTCTGACCCTCTCCTCTGCTCCTTTTACCCTCTCCTCAGCTTTATCTGCTTCATCTGACCCTCTCCTCTGCATCTTCTGCTCCTCTGGCCCTCTCCTCTGCTCCTCTCCTCTCCACCCTCTGCTTCATCTGACCCTCAATTCTCTCCTCTGTGTCTTTTACTCCATCTGACTCTCTCCTCTGCTCCATCTGACCATGTCTGGAGCATCCTCTGTATCCTTTGACCCTCAAATCTGCATCTTTTACTCGATCTGACCCTCTCCTCTGCATTGTCCGCTTCATCTGACCCTCTCCTCTGCATCCTCTGCTCCTTCACTACATGAATCAACCTTTTCGCTTTCCTCTCGGCCTCTTTTTTCCTGGCAGCTCCATCTTCAGCGTCCTTCTACCCACATATTCACTCTCCCTCCTCTGTCCCACTCACTTCTCTCTCCCTCCTCTGTATCTCGTATTGACAGTCATGACACTACGACGCCCTCTAGTGGTTCATGTGGAGCGGTGCACGTCCTGGACTCACCACTGGATCTTTCACTGTATCCACCAGTCGGATGATGTTGGTTCCTCCTTTTAGATTTTCCAATATTTTGATTTCTCTTTTGATTTTCTTCTTTTTCACCGGCTGAAAAACAAAAACGGTTACGGTTCTACAATTACACCACGTAACTTTTCTGAAAGCCCGTCACATTGTCTATGTAGAATGTTCCGCAGTACAGCATTAAAGTCATCTACCTTGCATATTTTTAATTAAATGTGTTGATTTGCTAATAGAATACTTTATAATCATGCATTATTACTGTGGGCAGGGTCACCTCTCCACGGATCTGACCTGTAACTTGACCAGGTGGCGTCAAGTGTATTTCTCCACGGTGATAGAAAAGTTTAATGCCACACTACGGAACAATCCCAACAAACCAGTTAACTTTGAGACAAGCAGATGCAGAAAACTTACACAGTGGATATTTAAAGCCCCAGTGTGTCACTTTTTTGCCAAAATATAGACAATAAAAGCTTGTTTTTACTGCGGTGAAAACACAGGGCTTGCATCTCCACAAACCTGACTCTTATTTACCCTGCAGGAGAAAGGATTTGGCTATAATATTCCACTGTACGGCATAAAAAGTGTATCTCCGTGGAGAATCATTCCCATGGCTGGTTTTAATCTTCTATCTCCATGGAATCATACAGTTTTTTTCAAACGTTTCACCCCAAGAAAGTTACATACTGTATTTTTCGGACTATAAGTTGCATTTTTTTCATGGTTTATGTGTTTCCTGTGACTTATTCTCCGGTGTGACTTCTATATTAAAATGTTTCTGGTGAAGCGGTGAGAGTTTCTAGTCTTGTGTGTGAGTATCTGCTGCTCCTGTTCCTCCTGTGCCACTGTCACTTGGCTCTACTGCGCATGTCTCCTGCAGAAAGAGCCTCTGTCCTGTCTGTGTCATGTCAGTCGATCGCACCGTTACTTCTGCACCACTGAACAATTTAACATTTAAACCAGGCGTCTCCAACCTTTTGTCCTCCGCGAGCTCCTTTACAAAACAAAAATGCCAGAGAGCTGCTCTTTTAGCGGCCGCAAGGAACGGAGTAAGAGCCACGGCCTGAGATCGGAACATTTAGAGGCCTATAAAACCTACACTATTATCCATTTATTAATGCAGAACGGAAAGTTTGGCATGAACATGATACATTTACAATTTTAAGTCATTCTATTCATAAAATTTTTGTTATTCAGAACAAAACTTATAATTCAGAAATTCTTTGGCGAGCTACTTGGAAGGAGGTGGAGAGCTAGTATCTGCTGCTCCTGTTCCTCCTGTGCCACTGTCACTTGGCTCTACTGCGCATGTCTCCTGCAGAAAGAGCCTCCGTCCTGTCTGTGTCATGTCAGTCGATCGCACCGTTACTTCTGCACCACTGAACAATTTAACATTTAAACTTTAAACTTATAAAGATAAAGACTGAGAAGACTGAACACAAATGCAACCAAAAAGAAAATCAGATTCTGCAGATTACAAACTGCAAGTCGTGAAATCTGCAGCTGAAAACGGAAATCGAGCGGCAGAAAGAAAGTTTGGAGTGAGAGAGAAACTTGTGACACCGGGAGCAACTTTCCTGAAGTCACTGGATGGACGGACAAAGCCTGGACTTCAGTGACACCGAAACGTTTCTGTCGGACTAAAGGACACGACTCAGTGGAATATGAGCATTCTCTCTGTGACATAGGTATGTTGATGATGATGATGGGGAGTGTGTTCTGTGTGTGTGTCGGGTTGGCGATGGTTCATGTTTTCAGAGATCAGACGTGTGCAGGTTTAGTGCAGCTTTTTATTTATTTTATTTATTTATTTGAGACAGGGACAGCGCACAGTTTTTGCATTAACCTTAACAGGAGAGATGCACTGTACATCAGGTTGCAGCATCAGTACTAATGTCCACCTGTCGTCCCTGGGCAGGTTCATTGATTGATTGTATTTAACTGACCTTGACTATCAACTGTTCTTGGAGACCTGGAGCATGTTTTGGGTTTATTTATGGTATTTAACATCAGTTCACTCACTTTATGTTGGTCACTTTATTTATTTTGGCTTCTATTGTGGTGAAAAGACTGAAAAGTGCATGCGACTCAACTTTATGTTGCAGTGACCGGGATACTGCGTTAACATGCACCATGACGAAACCGGGACACTCCAAAAACCCGATCGTACCCGGGACACTGATGTACACGGCCATAACTCCAGTGTTTGTGTCAGACGCAGCCTCGTCTCTTTACGCTAGCACGGCACAGCAGCCTAAATTCAGTTTGTCGATTAAAAATGAACGTGATCGATGAAATTCTTAATGATCAATTACCGATTAGTCGAGTAATCACGCCCATCCCCATCAAAAACAGACCTGGAGTTACGTTTTGTTTCTTTCACACATGTTTAACACACAAACCTGCAGATTTAGGCTGAGTTCTTCTCTCAAACTGAAAAAATCTCAACTGAATTAAAGGTAAAAGGAGCTGTTAACCTGAAAACTATTACTTCATGACATCACAAGGAACAGGGCAAGTTGAACTTTGGAGATGTAGACAGACTAATAACTTAATTAAACATGTGTGAATGAAACAAAACACAACTGCAGGTCTGTTTTTGAGGAGGTAACAACATTTTAACCTGACTTAAACCTCACAAGAGTCAGTTTTGTGTAATACAGAACCTTTAAAAAGTCAGTTGAATTTCATGGATGAACAATGGCTCCGTGTTTTAAGGGTCTGTGTCGAGTCCGATCTCACCTTGAGTATTTTGACGACCACTTTGTCGTTGTTGGTGACATTTATGGCTTCGAACACTTCGCTGTATTTCCCTCGGCCCAGTTTCCGCACCAGCTGGTAGTTGTCCTGATTACTGCAAAAAAAGAGAGAGAGCGTGTTTTATATTCACCAGGCGTACTACAAAAATACACTGTTCTCACCTTAACGCTCTAGTCCGTTTACGTTTAGTCCACGTTCAGTCCACCTTTATTCTATGTTTAGACCACCTTTAGTCCACATTTGGACCACCTTTAGACCACCTTTAGACCACCTTTAGTCCACCTTTAGTCCACCTTTAGTCCACGCTTAGACCACGCTTAGTCCACGCTTAGTCCACGCTTAGTCCACGCTTAGTCCACGCTTAGTCCACGCTTAGTCCACGCTTAGTCCAAATTTTGTCCACCTTTAGACCACGCTTAGACCACGCTTAGTCCACGCTTAGTCCACGCTTAGTCCACCTTTAGACCACACTTAGACCACACTTAGACCACACTTAGACCACACTTAGACCACACTTAGACCACATTTAGTCCACCTTTACTCTACGTTTAGTCCATCTTTAGTCCACGTTTAGTCCACGTTTAGTCCACGTTTAGTCCACGTTTAGGCGACGTTTAATCCACGTTTAGACTACGTTTACACCACGTTTAGTCTGTGCTTAGTCCACATTTAGTCCACGTTTAGTCCACGTTTAGTCCACGTTTAGTCCACGTTTAGTCCACGTTTAGACCACGTTTAGACCACGTTTAGTCCACGTTTAGTCCACGTTTAGACCACGTTTATTCCACGTTTATTCCACGTTTAGACCACATCTAGTCCACGTTTAGGCGACGTTTAGTCCACGTTTAGTCCACGTTTAGTCCACGTTTAGTCCACGTTTAGACCACGTTTAGACCACGTTTAGACCACATCTAGTCCACGTTAGGCGACGTTTAATCCACATTTAGACTACGTTTACACCACGTTTAGTCCGCGCTTAGTCCACGTTTAGACCATGTTTAGTCCATCCCAGCTTTAGTCCTGCTTTGACTACAATAGGCCAGACAGGTGTCATAGTTCCAGATTGGTCCTGGTTTAGTCCCGGTTTAGTCCGGGTTTAACCTCCAGTTAGGCAGGTAGTCCCGCCATTTGTAGTTCTTTTGTGTGTTGACATCTGCATAGATGCAGTTTAGACCTGGTTTACACCCAGATCAGTCCTGGGTCTGTAGTCCTGATTCTGTAGTCCTGGTTCTGGTTCTGTAGACCTTTTGTGTGTTGTTGACATCTCCATAGATGCGGCTTAGACCTGGTTTACACCCAGATTAGACCTGGTTTAGAAGTCCTAGTTCAGTCCTGGATCAGTCCTTACCTCCAGTTGGGCGTGTAGGCGTCGTAGTCCCAGTACTCGCGGTTCTTGTGTGTGTTGACGTCTGTGTAGACCCGTGCTTTGCTGGAGGCAGGAGTGGGACCGGGCATCGCTGGCTCTAGAGCGCGGCGCCCCCCGCAGGTCTCATGGGGTTCGTACAGGGCCGGGACACAGCTCGGTCTGGAGGAGAAACACTGGAGCCCCACACGCGACACAGACCAGAGAAGAGCGAGTCCAGGCCGGGACAGGAACAGAGCCGCCAGCTGAAAGACAAGACCGTGTGAGGAAAAAATCAGGGGGTTGGGTTGTGCGATGTCACCTCCGGGTCCATCAGCTGATTGATTTTTCTGCTCTGATACCGATTTCCAGGCACATTGACATAAATTTTGGGGCCTGGAGCAAGAAACCTCACATGGGCCCCCCTCAAATATGAGTTAATAGGAAGAGAGTCCAATTCTGGGTCCCTTAAATCCAGAGAGTCCGGGACAAGACCCAGTTTCCTTGCCGATTTAAGCGTCTACCGATCCCTGAAATCAACTGATACCAGAGCAGAGACTGAAAATATAATGTATTTCTTTACAACACAAATAGCAAAAAGGTAAAAAAAAAATCCAAATTTGTTTAGTAACTTTTTTATCATTTAAATTAATCACAGATGAGCTTTAAGTTTAATGTTATGAGACGTTTTGGGTCAACATTAGGGCCGGTGAATCATCTTTTTACACCAGTTGCTCAATCGATATTTTAAAGCCAATATTCAATTCACCAAAATGTTCAATATCAACGTCAACACTCGATACCAGAACCGTATCGATGCATCCATGTTGAAAACAATGAACATGCTGAAAATGTCCTCTTTTCTTTGCCAACATTAGTGTGGTCCATCAATGCATGGTGAAAAATAAAGTTTCAGATCACCTCGATTAGAACCTGCATTAGGTTTTAAACGCATCAAAAACATGATTTAGGGAGAAATTTGGAAGCAAAAGGAGATGTTTTAGAGGTTGCTCAAGCTGCATAAAGTTTCCTGAAAACTGACTAATTTTGCATTTTCAAGTAACTTTTTATGGACGTTATGGAATTTCTAAGCAACTTTTATGGACTCTCCAAGTATTTTTATGCAAGTTTCAGTTTGTGTTTGCAGAATAACATGACAAATGATTCGAATCTGGCTTATTTATTTGGTTCTCTGTTATAGTATCTCCAGGGGTCTCCAAACTTTTTCCTCCGGTGAGCTACTTTTACAAAACTAAAATGCCAGAGAGCTTTTAGGAGCTGCAAGAAATTGAGACGACTAAGAGAAAGAGAGCGAGTCTTTGGGTACAGTTAGATGCCAACAAAACCATTGTCGATTTATTAGTGCGCAAAGTTCAAAATTGTACATTTACAATAGTAATAGGCATTTAATTAACCAAATTTTTGTTATTCCGCGCAATGATATAATTCAGAAATCCCTACAGGCTACAGGTTGGAGATCCCTGGTATAGGCTCTACAGGGCAATTTCCAAGTGTCTTAAGCAAACTCTAAATATTAATACATTTGTATAAAATCTGGACCCACATATTTTGGCCAGATATGGGACCAAATTGAGAGAATCCAAGTAATATATATATTTTTGGACCACCCGAGCAGCCACAAAGTGTAAAAAGAAGTGGCCTGAGGGAGTGTGACGTCGCCCATCGTGTTTGGCTCCAGTCAAACGAAGCTCACAGAGGCCGGCGTTTATAGCAGCGAATTTGGAGCCAGTTCCATATTAAGAACAGGAATTTATTTACAAGTAAAAACAGCAAAATAAAAATCACCAGGATCATGTAGAGCGGGTTAATATGGACATTTTAAGATCAAAATGACGAGGCTCACGGCAGCAGTTACAGAGAGAGAAACAATTTATCAACGTAAAGTGAATTGGAGCCAGAGTCGATGGAGCCGGAAGTGCGCACATACTCACTTCTTGTTTGGACCGGGGCGGGTAGAGGGATATCTATGTCCATTTACAGTCTACAGAATCAACACATCTCAGGCTAAAAAGACTCGTTTAAAGCTAACAAGATTATAAGCATCTGTGGATCTAGGGTTATCACTGTGTCACAAAGTGTAGGAGGGATTATTTACATATTTTATATAATAATAATTAGAGGTTAATTGTCTTTTGCTTGTATAAGGAACAAAAACAGAGCTAGAAATCAGCTGTAAAGTTTCTGGTTTGACCCGGAAAAGACATCATCATTCAACATCTTTATAAAGAGCTGCAAAGATGAATCGCAATCAAATAAAAATCACAATTTGAAGGGACGCAATTAGCGAATCACAAAGGCTGCAATTTTACCATAATTGACCATAATTTCCTCCACAAGCAACAAAATCTCCTGTTTCATTTGGCATAAAAAAAAAAGCTAATCCTGTAGTTTAGATCTGTACAAGCTACAAAATAAATTAGACAGAAAAATTAGACAGAAATAAGACTCAGATAATCAATTATTCAATACAGAATCATTAGACGTGGGCAGAATATTGAAAAACAGATCTTGTAAACAGGGTTACAGTGATAAGTCGACTGAGTGATAAATCAACTATAAAAAAAAAAAAATACGGTAATCATATTTTGATAATTGAATTTCAATTTATTTGTTTGGAGGATAAGCCCCTTGAGATGTGTCACCATCTCGTTTTCAAGGGGGTCCTCAATTGTAACTAACTAATTTTCTGGACTGTGCAGACTCTAAAAATACATAAAAATTGCTTTTAAAACAAAAACAGCTGCATTATTAAACCAAAATGTAAAAAACAACTGGTTAGTTTTCATTATTAATAAACTTTTTTGTAAATATTCTCTAGAAGTAGGGGTGTGCAAAAATATTGAAACTGATTGCATAGTTTAATTTGATGATAAGGTATCGATATCATGGGCTGCTGTATCGATAAATCGCCAAGAGCTACAGTTTTGTTGCTTGTTTGGAGAAAATTCACTTGTTTATGCAAAAAACATTTTAACATTTTCAAAGTTTTGAGTAAAATAGGCATTTTTCATATTCACTTAGTGGTTTAAAAAAAAGAGTTTTAGTATCACAGACATGATTTAGCCTTTGTTTTTTTACTGAACCGTATCGAATCGTTTTGAAATATATCGTATCGAATTGAAAGTGTGCTGTATCGAAAAGCGTTATCGCATCGTGGCATATTTATCAAGGATTGTATTGTATCATGGCATATTTATTTAGGTAAGGTATCGTATCGTGGCCTACGTATCGAGGTATGCGTCGTATCGTGGCCTATTTATCGAGGCATGTATCGTATCGGCAACTTTTTATTGATACCCAGCTCTATTTAGAAGCCAATTTTTGACCTTTATTTCGGTTATTTGGTTTTAAATATGTTAAAGGTGCATTGCGTAACTTTCCGGTGGAGGTTCCTCTACGTGCTTATGTCTGAAGATGTTATTTATATGCCTGGAATGTTCCACGGTATGGCATTACACTTATTTATTTTGCATTTTCATTACGTGTGTTGTTATTGCTCCAAAACGTGTGTTCTTACAGTGGCCCCGTTTATTTCCATGAGGTTAGGTAAGTGTAATGCTATACTGTGGAACATTTCTGGCAAAGTAATAATAGCTCCATAGTGACAGGCACATGGCGGACGACCTCTACCAGAAAAGTTACACAATGCACCTTTAAATTAAAATTTACAATAGAAATAAAGTTTTGTAATAAAGACTTGTAGTGTATATACTGTCTTTTTTAAATTATGGACCAAATAATATTTTTGTCTGAAATAAAATTAAGATAACATAAAATAATAAAATAAATAAAAAATAAATAAATAAAAAATAATAACATAAAAAAAAATAATAATAGAAAAAATGTAGTTATGGTGGGAGCATGGACCTTCGTGGATCCATTAAGACTAAACAAATTTACGACCTCTGTGCTTTTATTAGTGAAATTGCTGAGGTTGTTTTGCTCGAGTGCAGACAGCGTTAATGGCGCACACTTTCTGTACAACTCCCAGATCGATGCGAGATTGTGTTCTGATTAATCGCCCAAATTAGCAGACAAAACAGAGGGGTAGGCGTGCCATGATAACAAAATTTTGTTTTGCTGAATAAAACAGATGATAAAAGACTCGGTTATTTTGGAAAACGGCTGTGTGGCAAAGTCTAAGTCTAATCCAGTTTCCAATTTGGCCTCACAATTTTTTATTCATTTTCTATCATATTTACGCTTGATTATGAAAAAAAATCATGATCACAATTATTTTGGTCAATATTAAAATCATGAACATTCAAGCGATTATTTTTTAGTTACACAATGCATTTATTCTGCATTTCTCTCTCTCAGGAAAACACTTTGTTATTGATAATTTACACAAAACTTTCAAATTGACAATAAATACAGGCTACAAATATGAACCTTAAAGCAATGTTTAAAACATACTTTGAACATGAAATAAAAAATAAACTATATATCCAGCTGTTCTACAATCTCTACATTTAAAAATAAAATAAATATGCATATTTATATAAAAAATATTTCAAAATAAACTCGATTATATGATTTTGGAGATCGTTTGACACACAAATTGAAATCGCGATCATAATTCAATTAATTGACTAAATAAATCCCACGTTCTTATGCCTTTTGCAAGCTTGTGATTTGCTACTGTTGGGGATGGTACAAGATCTCGTGAGACAAAACTGCCACAAGGTCGTGACGCATGAGAAAAATTATCTTGTGAGATTTTGTTTACAGTTGGATTGAAGAGAAAAGGGTCACGTGCTGGTGAGTGACATCTCTTACAGTTCCAAAAAGCAGAACTAGAATGAAAGCAAAAACAGTAAATCAAATAAACTGTGAGGTCAAAATTGGTAACAGAATCTCGAAATGTATATACTATATTAAGACTTATGTTAAAATCTCGTCTTGTTTCCCAATCTCGCTTCTCGTCTTGTCGAAATTAGGGCTGGGAATCATTCAGAAGTTGCTGATACGATACATATCTCGATACGGTGCACTTTCGATTCAATGAGATTCAAAACGATATTCTTCAAATCGATTCGATACGGTTAAATAAAAAATAAAGGCTAAATCATGTCTCTGATAGTAAAAGTCTGTTAAACCGCTTCTTGTGCAAAGTTCATATGAAACACAAACATTTTAATCATCACAACAGTGAAAATGTCAAATATGACATACTGATATTTTGATATTTCTGTACACCCCTAGTATTCCAGAAAGCAGAACTAGAATGAAAACAAAAATACTGAATCAAATAAATAAAAAACTTGAGGTCAAAATTGGAAACCGAATCTTTAGGAATTATGTTAAAATCTCGTTTTGTCTCGTTCTCGTCAAGCCAATCCCGTGACTCGTCTTGTCGAAATTAGGGCTGACTATCATTTAGAAGTTGCCGATACGATACATATCTTGATACAGTGAGCTTTCGATACGATATATTTCAAATCGACACTAAAACTCTTTGTTAAACCACTTCTTGTGCAAAGTTCACATGAAACCCAAACATTTTAAACAGTGAAAATGTCAAATGTGTCGCAAAAACGAGTTTCCTTCCACTAAACAAGCGAACAAAACTGTAGCTGTAACAAAATAATTTAGTAAAAAATACCAAAAAATTGTCTTGGCGATATATCGATACAGCAGCCCATGATATCGATACTGTATCATCACATTAAACAACATGATACATTAATATTTCGATATTTCTGTACACCCCTAGTGTAACTAGAATGAAAACGAAAATACTGAATCAAATAAATAAAAAACTGTGTGGTCAAAATTGGAAACTGAATTTTAAAATGTACATATTGTATTAGGACTTATGTTAAAATCTCGTTTTGTCTCGTTCTCGTTGAGCCAAACCCATGAATTGTCGTGTCAAAATTAGGACTGAGTATCATTCAAAAGTTGCCGATACGATACATATCTTGATACAGTGAGCTTTCGATTCAGTACGATATATTTCAAATCGATTGATACAGTTCGATAAAAATAAAATCTAAATCATGGCTGTGACACTAAAAGTCTTTGTTTAACCACTTCTTGTGTAAAGTTCAAATGAAACACAAACATTTGAATCCTCAAAACAGTGAAAATGTCAAATGTGTTGCATAAACGAGTTTCCTTCCTCTGAACAAGCAACAAAACTGTAACAAAATAATTTAGCAAAATAAACCAAAAAATACTCTTGGCGATATATCGATACAGCAGCCCACAACACTGATACTGTATCATCATATTAAACGATACGATATATTGATATTTTTGCACACTCCTACAGTTTCAAAAAGCAGAACTAGAATTAAAACAAAAATACTGAATCTTAACATAGTACATACTGTATTAGGAATTATGGATCATTCCACACCAAATCTCCAAATGCCCCGCCCGACCATCTCATATCTGAATGAAAAAATTCTAGGAGGTTCACAAACTTTCCAATAAGAAAAGTCCCAAATTTTAGCTCCCAACTTTTTAATGAGTTTTGTCATTAAAAAATATTTTGTCATTTCCTCCCTGACCTGTTTTGAGCAGTTTTCTGAGGAGCCACTTTCAGGTTGCCGTGTCTAAAAAAAACTTTTTAGGGTCGGTCCTTCAAATTTTCAAGGGTTAAAATTTGTCAGATGTACTTGTAGAATCTGAACTTTTACACATGTGATTTTGGTTTATCACAGATTTCAGGGGCTTGAATTTGCTTGAAAATTCTCCTCTTCAAATATGAGGGCACATTTTCAAAAATTCATTTTGCGAAAATAAGGTGGAGCACCAGCACAAATTTTGGATATGTTAAAGACAGACATATAGTCTTTCTAAAACAGTTCATTTTAAGTTGATGGGTGCTTCATTTTTTGTTATATGGTAAAGATGGCACCAAATTTATTTTTTTCCTTTTTTAACACTTAATATCTTCTAAACCAGGGGTGTCAAACATACGGCCCGGGGGCCAGATCCGGCCCTCCAAGACCTTTAATCTGGTCCTCAGCTGATTTTCTACTAAAATATTTTAATGATATTTTCTATTAAAATATTGTTAATTTTCTGTGGTGTTTATCACAGCAGCGTCTCCAGCGTCTCTGTACGTGGCCCCTCCCACCAGAGCAGCACAAATGAAGACTTGTCTCTTTCCAAACGCTCTTAAAGGACGATCGTTTTGACTGTTGACCGTGACACCCTCATCAGAAAAATGTCCAACATGAGAAAAGTGGAGCCGAGTGCAGGATTTTATAACAAAAATGGAATTTTTCCTGTTTACAAACAAGTTCATGTTAAAACATTGTGTTGAAATTGTATTTTTCTTAAAGTTTCAGGTTGTTCATAATATTATAATATTTTGTAAAAGAAAGAGTTCATCAATTAAAAAAGATTTCTGTAATAGATTTGTGTTATCTGCACAAATATTTGAACTTACTGTTATTTTGGGGTTTATATTACTTTTTTTTTTTTCAGCCCCTTTGGGATCAAAGTAAGTTGGATACGGCCCCCGGACCAAAATGAGTTTGACACCCCTGGTCTAGAGAGTTTTAAAATATAAAGTCTACAGTGGCGTGTGTGTTCATGTGTATGTTTAATATCAAACATCTGTCTTTGAAACTGCACTTTCCACAGTCTTTCGGAGATTTGTTGTGGAATGACCCTTATTAAAAATCTCATCTTGTCTCATTTTCGTCAACCCAATCTCGTATCTCTTCTTGTCGAAATTGTGTCTCGTCCCTTCCCTAGCTACTATAGAGGCTTTGCACCATCACGTGTCCCCATGGCAACGGTACCTACGCCGCCATGACACCGGGCACATTATGCCATTGACTTCAGTAGCATCAGAGAAACATGGGCAGGTTTTGTTGTGTATTTGGTTGTAAATGTGCTTCTTTCATTAAATAAGCAATGAAACTATTTAAATAGCAAATACCTTGATGAAACGTCGTGTGTCTTGATGGTACCATTGGAAATCTCTTCTCAGTTTATGTCCTCTAGCCATAATCCGTGTCTTTTTTTCGATAGTTCCCTTGTTTGAGCTCCTGATGAGTCATTTCCAGAGGAACAGTGAAGAAACGATTCGTTTTATCCCTTTCAGAGCGTCTAGAACAACCAAATACACAACAAAACCTGCCCATGTTTCTCCGATGCCGCTGAAGTCAATGACATAGTGTGCCCGGTGTCATGGCGGCGTAGGTACCGTTGCCATGGGGGACACGTGACGGTGCAAAGTCTCTATAGGTTTATTTATTTTCAGCCAAAAAATCATTAGTTGCAAAAGAATAATAAAAGAAATGAGGGAAAAAAAGAGAAAGGGTCAAAACTCTTACACAGAAAACATACACTGAGAGAACAACATGCACAGAAAGCGTAAAAAAAAAAAAATCAGGATTCGTGTTTGTGTATCGTCTGATCAGATGTCACCGTTTTAAATTTCCGCGTCGTAATCACCGGGAGCCGTCACAGTTACACCTGTTTGTTTCGTCTCGGGGCTCGTTTCCACACCTCCAGCTCCAGATCAACGCTGGTGTGAAAGTAAACAGTGCATTCTTCACTTTGGGTGTAGCCCTTAGAAACCACGGGCGAGCTCCACGTTCAGCTGCACGTCCAAGCATTTCAATCAAACAATCATGGACAGAAATCAACCCCACAAATCATGTCAATTCCAAACATTTTCCAACATTATCCCTATTAATTTTCATATTTTTTTCCTCATTTTGACTCATTCAAACCCTTTTTTCTTCACTACACCTTGATGTTCTTGTCAGAGGTTGCAGGAAACATCAGCCAAACCTGGATCTTTAGAAATATCAACAATTAAACACGTCAAAAATCAGCAAAATTAAAAAATAAACAGGCAAATAACGCAATACTGAGCCATTTCCTCCTATTACTCTGCAGCAAACGCGTGCAACTACGGGTTAAAATTAAACATTAACACGCGTTCTAGCATCAACATGTGACTTCTTTTGCTTTTTGCTGCATATTTGCGATTAAATATCTGCAAAAACCCCGTGCATTTTTATTCCAAACACAATTTTTACATTTATTTTGACAGCGGCAGCATCGAGCTTCGACCCTTCGCCGCTGCAATGACATTTTTACACATAAATACGATTGCAATCTACGTTTTACCTGCACGGGGACAATTTAGAGTTTATTAAGAGTTTGTAAGAGTGAAAAAAAAAAGGTTATTTACCGGTAAAGAGGCGCAGAGGTGAAGGCAGAGACGGAGGAGATGCTAACGGGCTAACGCTAACCTCGGAGCCCCGGAGATTGTGCGGTAAAAAAACGAAGCAGCAGTTCCGATTAAACGGGCGATTCTTAAATTCCACGGGGAAATATCAGAGTTTGGAGGTGAGGTTTTTGTATATTTGTTGTGATTTTGTGGTGTGTTTTAAAGGGTGGGGAGAGGGGGGCTTGTCTCTGCAGAAAACTTCACCCGGAACCGGAAATGCGCCGTTTTAAGACGTAAAGTTTATTTAAGGTGATTTAAGAGTTTTATTTTGATTTATTTTTCATTACATCTAGTTATTTTCCTTATCGTTTACACGCTTTTTATGCTATTTAATTCAGTTTTAATAATTATATTTGCAGTTGTCATATTCAGTACTAGATCTAGAGTGATTGGACGTCTCTGTTTATCCGGGACAGTCCCAGTGTTGAGTCTGTGTCTCCTGTCCCAGCAGATTTATACAAAACCACTGATTTGTCCCAGTTTTATACAGGAAATGTCCCAGGTGTCCCTACTTTTGATCAATTTGATCCCTGCCAACAGTAAAGAGAGACATAAAGTATCATTTGTTTTGGTAAAATACAAAAAATCTGCTCAAAAACAACCAAAACACAAAGAAAATGTGACTATAGTGACTCTGCTCTATGCGTAACAGTTTTCCTTAATTACACACTCATTTCACAATTTTATTATTACCATTAGGCATGTGCAAAAATATTGAAATATCGATATATTGAAACCTTTAATGCAGACATGTCAAACTCAGGCCTGGGGGCCAAATTTGGCCCAAAATATAATTATATTTGGCCCACGGGATCATGTCAAATCTGTATTAGAGCTGCCTGCTGGCTAAAGATCGACTATAGAGACATTATTTATTTAAAATATTGTTATTTTTCTTATATTCTGCTTGTTCTGGATTCAATGCTTAAACTAAACTATAATTAAACATTTACTTTAATAAGAAAATGTTTAACATTACATATCCTGAAAGAAGAGAAAACATGCAGATGTTCTTGAAATTTTTCAGTAAATATATAATTTGAAAAATGTGTGAAGAATCCCTCAGTCATCCAGGTAGAATCCATGGCGAGGAGAAAACTCAGTTTGTCGACTGGACAAAAGTTAGTTTGGTTGAAGACGTTTCGCAGCTCATCCAAGCTGCTTCTTCAGTTCTGGTCTAACTTTTGTCCAGTTGACTAACTGAATTTTCTCCTCGCCAATTCGAAAAATTAAAAAACAGATGACGATTTGTTTTTTCAGTTTTCGATTTTGTGTTTAAATGAATAATGGAAAAAAACTGATCAAACCAGGACTGAACCAGGACTAAACCAGAACTAAACCAGGACTGAACCAGGACTAAACCAGAACTAAACCAGGACTGAACCAGGACTGAACCAGAACTAAACCAGAACTAAACCAGGACTGGACCAGAACTAAACCAGGACTGAACCAGGTCTAAACCACCACTGCTGAGACAAGACCTCGTCCAAATCCGCTCGAGTCCGACATGAGACCAAAACCAAAACTACAACACTACAAAACATCAAAATTAATAATAAAAAATCAAAAAAACAGAAATCGAGTGGAGTTAAAGGTGTTTATTTTATGTTTACAGTATCAACACGAGTCGTCTCCTTCAGGTCGTCCCTTTTTCAAACTCCAAAAACATTTATTTAAATACATACTGCAGAGGTGTCAGAGGAGTACACGCTTATAGTCACGTCATGAGAATCTGGCAGTAACTTTGAGCTGCTTGGAAAATAAACGGTGCTAAAGTTCTACACGGCTGTTTCGATACGACCAAGATGGGACAAAGAAGAAGAAGAAGTACATGTTTGAGTAACAGGAACACACGTGGATTTCACTCTGAGTAAATTGCAGTAACAGAACAGAACAGAGAAACATTTGCAGCAGGTTAAGCAGTTTTCAAATACAAAGAAAACGTAATTATTTGAGGAATATATAAACAATAGACTGGTTGATGAATTGACGATCTTTACATGATTCATGAATTTTGGACTTCAGGTCATCGTGCAATGGACACTGGGAAGGATTTACTGAAAAAGTGAGCATCAAACCTCCATGTTTGTTTTCCCAGTGGGATGTGTCTATTGACAAAGTCGACCTTTTCAAGTCTTTTGAACCATATCACTTTTGTTTCTGGTTCTGATATTGTCATATTTTAGTTTTGGAATTCGGACATCGTAATTGTGTGGTTTTTGGATCCTAACAGCGGAAAACGGCTCGAGAAATTTGTTTGTGAACTCCATAAGTGCAAAAGGGAATCAGATGTGTGTGACTCAAACCTCCGTTCAAACTGTTTCTCTTCCCAACGGAATTGAAAAATAGTGAAAGGTGAAGGTGATGGGCAGGATTGATCCACAGGAAGAACCAAAAAGGAAACATTTGGCTGCCTAAATCATCCAGCGAACATATGTGGAACGCCATCAAAGCAAAATCCCACGAACTGTGAAAGGCTTGTTGTTCTGTTGTTTGTTTCTGCTCCTCTCCATTAACAAACGGGATTTTGCGTTGTTTCGTTCGTAAAAATCCTGTTTGTTAATGGAGAGGAGCAGAAGACAAACAGACTGAGCTGCACTTTCTTGTTCTTGTGGTTTTACAGCAACATTAAATCTTGGTCTCTTTGCAGTGGAAGGTGTTTCTTGGTGAACAGTTGGAGCCTTTCACTTTGGCATTGATTTTTTAAATTTGTAACCGAGGTTGAGCGAAGGATCGGGATTTTACTTTGCTGACGCTCCACATACAAAATGTTCTCTGTAAACACGGGATGATTTGTTAGGCAAATGTTTCCTTTTTGGTTCTTCCTGTGGATCAATCCTGCCCATCACCTTCACCTTTCACTATTTTTCAATTCTGTTGGGAAGAGAAACAGTTTGAACAGAAGTTTGAGTCACACACATCTGAGTCATTTTTGCATTTATGGAGTTTACAAATTTCTCGAGTCGTTTTCCGCTGTTAGGATCCAACAACCACAACAATTACGATGTCCGAATCCCAAAACTAAAATATGACAATATCAGAACCAGAAACAAAAGTGATATGGTTCAAAAGACTTGAAAAAATCAACTTTGACAACAGACGCATCCCACTGGGAAAACAAACATCGCGATTTGACGCTCACTTTTTCTTCGGAAAATCCTTCCTAGTATGGATTGCACAATGACCGGAAGTTCAAAATTCGTGATGCATTTATTGGTGGTTTTTAAATTTGAGAGTGTAGTAATATCACACGACCAGATGGGGGAGCAAGAGCTAGAAGGGATGGAACAAGACGAGACAAGATTTTAAAAATAATTCCTAATATATAAAGTTTCCAGTTTTTCAATTTTTTTTTTAATTTATGTGATTTCATATTTTGTGACATGATGCTTTTTTTGTCTGATCCAATGTGAACAAAACCTCAAGAGGTAATTTTTCTCACGTGTGCATGATCTTTTAACAATTTTGTCCCGTGAGATCTTGTGAAATTAAATCTTGTCCCATCCCAAGAGCCAGTTTTTGCCCTGAAATATCCAAAAGTTAAATTCACAAATATTGAACCTGATCATTTCTATTAGTGACCAAACCCAAGAACTCACCGCATTACAACAAAAAAAATCTACATCCACATTTGTATTAAACATGACCAGCATAAAAAATGTAACACAGCAAAAAGTGGAGTGTTTAAATTCACTCTTACAGAAACAATTTGAATATTTTCCAATCTGTTCAAGAGTTAATTTAACATGTTTGGAAATGTTAAGTTCCTGTTTAACCTGAAATCAAGAGTTGTATTAACGTTTTGAGAGTAAACGGATAACACTTTGAAGGTTATCCTGTTTTATTTTTACACTTTATTTTCGGTAATTTAAGATGAAATTCTGCACACAGGGTTCCCACTGTTTTTCACTGACAAAATTTTTAAACTTTTCCATGACTTTTTTGAATCGAGCGTACTTTTAGGGTTACTTTTACTCACACAAAGCTGTTTAGTTGTGAATTAAAGAATAAATAACAGTTTTGTAACACAGTTTGTGTAATAATTTATCTGCGTTTTAAGAAAATAAGTCCAATTTTCAGTCACGACACTGGCATCGGTTAAAATCAAGTATCAGCTGATAATTATACCTGTACACAGGGTTCCTACTGTTTTTGACTGACAAAATTTTAAAAACTTTTCCATGACTTTTTCATGACCTAAAGTGAATTTTCCATGACTTTACGGCTCCTACATGTGTAGAATCAAGCGTACTTTTAGGGCTACTTTTACTCTTTTTTTAATTTAAGCGGTTCAGTCGTGATTTAAAGGATAAATAACAGTTTTGTAACACAGTTGGATCTTTTGTATAATAAGTTAACTGTGTTTTAAGGAAATAAATCAAATTTTAAGTCCAATTTTCAGTCACTACACTGGCATCAGTTCAAATCAGGTACCGGCTGATAATTACACCGGTACACAGGGTTCCTGCTGTTTTTGACTGACAAAATTCCAAAATTTTTCCAGGACATTTTCATGACCTAAAGTGAATTTTCCATGACTTTACAGCACCTACATGTACAGAATTGACCCGACTTTTAGGGTTACTTTTGCTCACACAAAACTGTTCAGTCGTGATTTAAAGAATAAATAAGAGTTTCTTAACACAGTTGGATCTTTTGTGTGATAATTTAACTGTGTTTTAAGGGAATAAGTCCAATTTTAAGTCAAATTTTAAGTCACTGCACTGGCATCAATTAAAATCAAGTATCAACTGATAATTTATACCAGTATGCAGGGTTCCCACTCTTCAAAACTTTTCCATGGCTTTTTCAAGACCTAAAGTGAATTTTCCATGACTTCACAACACCTACCTACAACTAAATATGAAATTTTAACTCTTTTCACTCACCTTATGGTTTGGGATTATAGTTTTTTAACGTTTAAAATCCTGTTAGAGCATTTATTGTCGTCTCTTTTAAACAAAAGGCTCAAATGTTGAGAAATAATCAAAATAGCCTCATGAAAACTGAACAGAACACTGGAGTTGTGTGAAAGAGATACTAAAATTCCATGACTTTTCCAGGCCCGGGAAATGACATTTTCAATTTCTATAAGGTTTCCAGAATTTCCATGACCGTGGGAACCATGTGAACAAAACTGGTTCATCCTGGTCTTGAATTAACTTCAACCATATCAACCCCAACTCGAACACTGATTT